AGCTGTATGGACATGCACTGCATGAATTAAAACCTACACAGTCCAGAAAGTGAAATATAGTACAACTTTTCCGTAGGCACTGATCTAACGTGTAAGAACAGGGAGAAAACTCCCCCCACCCACAAGTAACATCTTTATAGTGTTACAAACAGCCTGTTATTAGAAAAGTTGCTGAAGAGAACTATTGGGCTATAAATAGCCATATTGTTACTCTAGTCTGTTTACCTTCTGAAGAAATTCATCTCCTCCGCACTTCTCACTACATCAATGGTTAAACTCTTTCATGCCAAACCACAACTAGGTTTCAAGCATTAGTCACAAGTTTCTGTCTACGTTATTGAGCAATCGTGTGGCATGGCAGACAGGTTATATAACGCCTTTTCTATTACAAAGTCAAAATGAATGAACAGAGATATAAACAAAGGAAATGCTATTACTTAGCGATGGCCGATTTGCCATATGTCTGCTTATTTATATATTTGCTTACGTGCTGCCCCAATCTTCTCCAATGTGCTTCTCCACATGGTAACCTAAATTTTGCTTTAAAAAATGGCAATAAATACCCGGTCCTCCCCTCCTTCCCCATCTTCGTGTCCTCTTCCTTTGCTTCCCCTGTTATTGTCCCTAAACTGGTTTGAGCTGCTTGACCCCCTTCCTATTAGCCCCGGATGTCTCGGGGTAGAGGGCTATAGAACTCATTGGCCTCGACCCCACGATACCCAGGCTTCGGACCTGATAAACCCTGGCCCGTGTTGCCCCATTCCATGTTAATTTGGACCTTACCCACTGAACCCGAACTGCAATATCTCCTTTTAACTCCCAACTTGCATCCTGGCACTTGCCACACTGCTCCTGTTCTACGGCCTGCAGGGCTCTGCATGATGCTGTAGCTGTTTGTTTTCCGTTTAAGTGCCTTATTGCAGGGCTTGCATGCCCCACTTCTGTTCTCTTTGTAATCTTTTATATGAAAAACTGACAAAAAACAAATAAAATCTTTGTGAAAGAAAAAATGGCAATAAAACAACAGAAATGGCAAATAAGCCCAGCAAAACAACGCACTTTTATTGGCTGCTAAAAATAGCAAATACCATGTTGTCGGTGTGAATGAACCTAATAGTGAAAAAAAAAATGGGGCATCTATCAACTTATTTTTCACATAACCATTGAAGTACTCTGAAGAACCTGCACTGTTTTTACACATGGCAAGCCTATATTTTGGCACTAAAAATATACATAGACATGCAAAAACATATATACGTGTATTCTACAAACCAATGGGAAAAGAAACACGTCAGCCATTGCAACTAGACAGATTCCAACCTTTGTTTTTCTATTGCAGGTTAGAAAGGGAATTTTCCCACACTTTATAGAACAGACCTGCTAATGTATCTGCATGGCATCACTGCCAGGAATAGCTACCCACAGAAACGCGTAGGTGGGGCAGATACCGGAGTGTGTTATTCAGGTCTTTGTGGATGGATGGAGATAACACCCACTTGTAGACAGCACATATGAGTCACAGGTGGCAACTTTCTCAGAATGCTGCCTCTCCTCTCAGAGAAGAAGCAAGCTTAGACAACCTCCAGTTATTTTTCTGTTGCGAGATTATACATGGCACCATGACATGCCAAGGTAGATGATGTCTAACACTAGGAGCCTGGACCCAAAAGGTTGCCAACTTTTTCATAGGAAAAGGAATGTTCCTTTCATTGCATATATGCAATACAAAAAGTAGCTTGATTGGAGAATAAGATTAGCAGTGGGTGAATTCAAGCTGCAAGATCTGCCCGTGTACTGGGGGGACTAAGGGCTCATAGTCAGGAACCTCTATCAGTGTACTTGCCCATTGGAGGATTCCTATAATGTGCATTCCTGCTAAAGTGCTAATTTTCATATACAGTACTGTGAATGCAGGTTTTGGGATTAAGACGAAATCCCACCCAAAGCCTCCTACCCGACTGTTAGTCACCGTCAGCAATATGTTCAAGTTATTTGCCATATAGACAAATGTCTTCATACCAGACACATCTACGCATTTCCAAGTAATGGAACCAAGGTTAGACAGGCAATTTACGAATAAGCCTGGGGCCTCAAAATTGCACAATAAACAAAAAATGTTAAATGCAAGTTGTGGCTTTAAATATGCCTGTTACATACATTTCATGACATGCTTTACAGAAATAAATACTATAAAAACAACACTATATCAATAAAAGAGATCAATTTACTGACAAGAAAAGCAGTTCATCTCTCTCCAGTCAGTACAGTAGGTCTAACAGGAGATGCTCACCTTACAGTATGCTAAACAACGAGAGACTCCATGAGAATGGATAAGAAGAGCAACACAAAGGCCAGTTCATACCACATTGTTGCACTAAATGCATTGTATAGTACTTTAAGTGAACGCTATCGCACAGCATATTTGGTGTGCAGTCCTGTGTACTAGGTGCATTGCGTTGCCATTAATTAGAATATCACCCCAACAGACCTCCCAGCGGCTATGGTATGGACGGGCCCTTTGGCATCTATCATGTCTGTTATTAAAGTCTTCATGTAAGCTCCTTAAACATTCTCAAAGGGTCTGTCACTAAAACAAGGGAACAAAGGCTGCTCTCAGGTGCAGTAACCTTAAAGCCCATCTCCAGGCAAACCAAAAAAACGACCCTTGTAGTGGGGCTACTCCCACACGGCAAAGGTTAAGTGCTTGTTTATGTCTAGGGGACTGGAGTAAAGCACTTTAGCTTACCTTATCCCAGATCTACTGGTGGTCAGGGCTCCCCTCTTCTCTACCTTTGCTCCAGCTGGTGGAATGTTCCTCGTGTCCTAATATCTACTGCAGGTCTATGGAACCTGCCTTAGACGTGATGACGCCACCAGTCCTTATACCACCAAAGCAGAGGGGAACGGTGGCTGTGGGTAATGGTCCTCTAGCCCAGAGGGAGAGGATGGGGATCAGGAAAGTAAAAGCGCTTTACTCCAGTCCTTTAGACAGAAAGGAGCAGTTAACCCTTGCAGTACAGAGCAAGCCCAACTGCAAGGTAGTTTAATGGTTTGACAAGTGATGGGCTTTAAGGTCCCCACTCCTATGCCTGAATGCTGAGTTACTGTTAGAGGGTAAAGCTTCCTGAGCCTCCATTCACATATAGCATGGCGCACAAATGCTAAAATCTTTACAACTGCATGGATTCCGCTTGTTTGTGGTTATTATTATAGCTGCGAACGTGCGGAATCCGCCATACCATCCCGCTTGTACTATTTTGCGGGACACGCAGTTTTGTACCGCACAGCCACCGTACAAGTCTGAACAATGCACATTAAAGTGCGTTGTTTTTTATGTTTAGAGCGGTTCCACGCGTATTCGTATGGTCGAATACGCGCGGACAACCGCTCGTGTGAATGGAGCCTGAGAGTGTATTAACTTGCGTCCTCCTTCCCACCTCTGACACATTCCTACTGGCGCATCACTATGATGAACTACCTTACTGGCCAGTAAGTATGTCCATGAGCAGAAAGGGGCAGGCAAGCTTTGACACAAACAGGAAGTGCCGGAGCTTTACCCACCAACACAGTTACGCATTTGTACAGTATGCAGCAGGATTTGTGTTGGCACCTCTAGCAAAACTGAAGGCTTTTTTCATGACTTTCCATCCAGCTTTTAAAAGGTATATGGCATAACACTTTTATGACAAACGATTGATCCCGTAATGTATAAGGGATAGTTCAGGTATTGTTTCGGCTGATTAAAGTGAACCCGTCTGAATACAAATATGGGCGCTACTACCTTTGTCCTGCTCAGTTTAAATAATTTAGACCTGAAACAATCAGTTTTGTTCATTCTTGTTCACTATTAGATCTGCTAGGCCCATGCAAGCCTGACACTCTTCATGTGCATGAATGCCCTAACAAAAGTTGGTACTGGGGCAGACTAAACAACCCTGACATCCCTTCCTGTGTGTGATCACACTGTATATCTGTTGACATCTCATTGTTCTCCACAATAAAAACAGTGCTTTGCAGCTTGGGAGTTAAGAACATTTATGCAGTCGTGTGAAGACTAGCAGAACACTAATTTAATTAGCATTAGCGGTGCCAGGGCAGAGACGCGTTATTCTACATTTTATTTCCACATGAAAACCTGCATTCACAGCTGGGAGTAGCTTGGCAGGGCACCTTTTTGGCTATAAAAAAACAAGGAAAAAGGGGCGGGATCAAGGAGCAGAAATTCCTGAGGGCAGCAAAGAGTGCTGAGACTGGTGAAAGTTAACCTCTGGACTGCCCAGAAACGATTTTGACACAGCTCCGCAAGATATAATAAAACTTCATTTTAAAAAGTGTAGCGCTTTATAAAGCACCAAATAAACAAAACAAACAAGACCATATACAATCCTTTGAAAAAGTCACGAAATCACCACATTTTACTCTAACTGTATTACTATTTGGGTATATAACGCTAATCCATTCTGTACTTGTCCGTGAAGGCTGCTTAACCACAAAGCCAGAGATATTTGCAATCATGATCACGTGCAGTCACAGTAAAAAATAGCAACGTCAACAGTACAGAGTATCCTGTCTAGGACAAGAACATTATCAGTCAGTTTCCCCGTCAAAATATTACGCAATGCACAACAAGTGTGTTCTATTATCTATCGAGAGCGAGTCCTCTCCGTACTTTATTTATATATCTTAAATGATGCCTTTAATGGATAAATACAAAACATCTGGGGCTATGCCTGTGTATATGGGAGCTGTACTGGCACCTCAATGTAACGTAAAAGACATACAGAGCACATCAAACCTATATCTAACATACCTTTTTTGTAAAGTGCTAATACATTTACGTAACTCTAACAATGCTTAGACTAAAAAAAGAGGAAAAACTGCATGTGTACAGCAAAATTGGTTCCAGAGGGCAACTTTCATGTGACTTTCAAGCTGTTGTGTAATCAGTACCTGCTGTGAGTAGCTGTTAAGCCTGCTATAAGACTGGAATTGTTTCTTACCTATCTGATCTTCTGGAATCAGGGATTCGATTGGTGGGTCCAGTTCAGAGCTCTGTGACAAATAGTTTTTGACTTGTGTCATGAATTGTCTGATAGTGTGTAACATATCTGTGCTAGAGACGTGGCAGTCCTTGTTTTCCTGCAGAAAGCTGATATAATCCTGCACAAGGCATCCAAAATAAGTCCGCTTGTCCCGAGACATGGCTGTGATCTTTTTGACCATCTTCCTCTCTGGAGTCACCAAAGAGTTGAAGACTCCGCTCACTTTGCGCAGGTGAGTTTTCATAATTTTGGAGAGACCCAAAGAAGTCCCTCTTTTTTTCCGAGACTTCACAGGTGGTGCCATGCTCTCTTGGTCGCTTTCTTCCTCACAATCTTCCAAGCTGTCACCTTCATAGAAAGGGGGCACCATGCGGTCATACTCAAAGGAGTCAGATGATGACGTAGAGATGCTCATGTTACTTAAACGCTGCACACGCAATGTGCCAGATGAGTTGCAGTTCTGACTCAAAGTAATATTCTGCATGGTCTTCTGTGGAGGCGATTCCTCGGGCTGAGAGTCAAAAGATGACCTGCAGGAACTACTCAGCGATGGCGTTTGGTCGTTGCTTTGCCACCTGGTAATAGTGGCCTGCTTCTTCAGGCGAGGAGGAGGGATAGGGGTAGCGCTTTTAGAAGGGGAGTCTAAGTTAATGTTCCTGTTATTAATAAGTGTTTCTGGCATGCTTGGCTCTGACTGCACAGCTCTGGACAGCTGAAGGCTTGTGCGATGACTGTTAATGGAAGGGGGAGGGGGCCGAGGAGGTGGTGATCTCGTCTTTTCTATGCCATTTGCTTCATGGGCTCTGCTGCTCTCCCTCTTCAAACTTCCCCCTGAGTCCTGGCTGTGCACTTTTAAGAAGAGAGGATTAATGAAACACAGAGCTCCGTTCGTCTGGCTACATTCCAATTCTGAGGGCGTTCTGGTGCGGAGAGAATGCACTCCGTTTATAAGAGGTAGATGATGAGACTCCCTCTTGACGTAGCCTTGGGGGAGAGGCTTGGGAAAAGCTGAAGCATATTTTGGTTGTATGTTTACAGGAGATGTCCAAAAGTCTGCAAAATATATATAGAAAAAAAATCTTAGCATCACTCTGTGAAAACACTTATTTAACACTAAATAACACAGATGATTTACAGAAGCAATGACTTTCAAAGTTAAAAAAGTAACAACTACGAGAACTTAAAAAATAAAGAAACAATACAAACGTATGTGAATTAGAACATCGTGATAGAATATAGCAAGTAAAAGAGCAGAAAACAAACTGTGACACAGCAATTTATGATGAAGTCAGGATAAAGAGTCATAAATAATATTGATAATCAATAAAGAGATTTTGGAGCCTGTTATAAGAGTTATTAAGATGATATCAGTATCACTGTAAACATCATCGGTAAATATAGCACAGACTATACTATTCATCCCGAATAAAAGTGTACATATTACAAGTGACAGCAATACTTAGAGTGGCATACAACTCTTGGAGACAACTTTTCTTTTAGCCTGCATTCACACCTAGGCGGCAGCGTTTTCGCACTCATTTTCACCTATCGTATTTTGCTAGTTTTTGTGTGCTTTTTGCACATTTTTACGTGCGTGTTGACACATGCTTGGCTGGCAGATCAAAGACATTGCGACCAATGGGGAAACACATTTTAAAACGCGCACAAAGATATGTGTCGCACATTTTTCAGGCTTTTCCATAGAAGTCTAAGGGGCCAAACAAGAGCAAAAATGCCACAATGAAACTCAGAAACTTTTCTGAGCGACAGGTGTTTTGCAGCTTGCGACAAAACGCCTAGGTGTGAATTAGAGCCATTGAAATGAATGGGAATTTATGAATGGGCTGTAAAGTATACACCGCGCTAAGCTCACTCCTGTGATAGACTACAATCTCACGTTTAGTTTACTAATTATTATTGAGATCGTAGTCCATCATGGGAATGAGCTTGGAGCGGTGGCTACTTTACAACATACACAGGGACCATGGGGAACAAAAGTATCCACCCTCCAGAACGAAGGACAGTGTCGGCACCAATTCAGAGATGATTTGAGGATCTACAACTGAGTGATACACAAATAAGATGCATTTTTGTTAATAGTTAAAGCGGACTTTTAGGTAGGGTTGCACAGATACCAAGTACAGTACTCGTTACAAGTACGAGTACATGTACCGATACTTTTGAGCTCCAAGACTACACTAGAGAAAAATTCAAAAATTAGGAGGCAGCTGTCATTTGTAAGGATCACACGGAGCTCCTGGGACTTGTACATCTCTGTTTTAATGTACGATTTTGTTTTTATAAATATAAATAAAGTGATGCACAGATACCAGTTTTGCGAGTACGATTACTGGTACTTGCCGAGTACTTACAAGTACGAGTACTGATACATTTTTGTTTATTGTCATGTGACAGTTTTTCTAAAACAATACAGACTAATGATTTCAGGACAGTGGTGGAGTGCCAGAGCCCGGTCCCAGCTGCAACCACTGCAACCCTGGTAGTTCTCATGAAAATGCCAAGTATCTGCACTGGTACTCAAAAAGTATCTGTGCATCCCTACTTTTAGGCCTCATTCACACGAGAAACGGCTGGCACGTACAGCTCCGTGCATGGTCGTTTTGGGCAGCTCCCGGGAAGGACAGGTGCTGCGTGTGATTAGTACGCAGCCCGTCTTTCTCTATGGGACTACACGGCCGTGCGCCACACTACGCTCACCCCAAGTGCAGGTCCATACGGGTGCGGGTGTCCCGGCTCGGACGCAGACAGGATCCATCCTGTCAGCGTATGAGTACGGACACCCGCACGGACGTGCGGGGCGAGTGAGCGTAGGGCGTCGTACAGCCGTGTAGTCCCATAGAGAAAGACAGGGGCTGCATACTAATCACACGCAGCACCTGTCTTTCCGGGAGCTGTCCGATACGACCGTGCACAAAGCTGTACGTGATGGTTATTTCTCGTGTTAATGAGGCCTTACCCATAACTTTAAAATAACAACAAACGCACCTTTAGACATGTTATATCTTATCTCTTTTCTTCCCCAGTCCAGTGGCCATGTTTACTAAGGGCATATTACTAGCTCTATTACTTCCTGGATTTCTGGCACATGTGACTAGACATGTGACTAGGACATGTGACCATGCACATCATCTCAGGGGCAGAAAATGCCTTTCCCTGAGATCTCCTGAGATTACAGATGAGATTTCGCCACAATACACTGCTGATGACAAGGCAATCCCGGTGTGCATTGCTTTGCCAAACTGAAGTCATTTTGTCCCTTCAAAGAAGGAAGTGAATGCTCTGCAAGTGTAAGTATTTCACAATCACAGCATTTTACACCTGATATGTCTATGTTATTATTAATCATCATACATAGAGGGATGCATTGGTTGAATTCGATTGTTGACTCTAAAAGGTCCGCGTTAAAGTTACTTGAGTGCATTTTTAAGATGTAACTCCTGAGTTTAATGTCACTTTAAGTGGCATATACCTCAGGAGGCTTTTTTACACTGCAGATTTGTAAAAAAAAAAAAAATGTTCTTAATGCTTTTATTGTCTGCTCTTTCTTGGAAAAATAAGAAATAAAATCTGACTGGTTACTATGGGCAACAATCCAACAATCTTGATAGATCAGAACTCATAACTCTTAGATATGCAACTCTATTTATATATTCAGTAAGCTCCACAAGCATGCACTGATTTCCATACATTTTCAATTTCAACAACATTTCTCTTTATGCACAGAGTACAAAGCGTGACTAACACAATAATGTTTTATGCATACTGGCTTAGAATGAATGCATGTTCTCTTGCACAGCACATAAAGACAGTTTGGAGAAAAAGCATGCAAGGCACAAGAGCTGAAAGATCCTCTCTTTTTCACCCACTCAGTGAGTCTCTGCCCAGATCTTCAGCTGCTTCATTTTTTTTCTCTCCGCTTAGTGCCTGTAAACACACAGCTGCACGAGTCGGGATTGCAAAACTTGGATTTGTGCATAGTGCGTGTTAAGAAAAATTACATACTCTGTGCTTTTCAAGATTATAACAATGAGTAACAGGAAACTCTGTCAATAAGTCCAACATATGTCTGGCCTACTTGTCGGAGGCCCAAGACAGTTCAAGCATCACAAAAAAGACAAGCCAATCTGTTTATGTTAAATGGTCCAAGTAGGTTGACAGAAAAATCTGTTGTTTATACGATTCCAAAGTTAGTTTGATTGGACTTAGTCTCACTTTGTTGATCTAATCCCCTAGGGTAAATATAGCACTTGGTCCCATCTTTCTATATGTTGTGGAAGAGATCCCATAGTTGTCAGCATGACCCCCTTTCGCCCCCATATCACCATCGTTGATTTATGTCCACACAGTATCAAGTAGACGAATATGTAGTGAGGCATGATTGGCAGCAGTTGTCTGAGACAAGTGCCTGCATTCATTAGGCATGCAAGGGGAGGAGGTGTGTGTCCGTAAACAGCAGAACACAGCACAACTCATAGTCTGTGTATCTTCTGCTCTACACCACTGCTGTACACTGGGGGAAAAGGCTGAGCTCATCCCACTAGCCAGCCACTAGCTATTTAGGGAAGAAAGACTAGTGAAGTAGCTGACTTGTGTTGTGGACTTGCATTTTTGTGAATGAAATTGCTCATCTTCTGTGCACCGCCATCCACAACAAGGCAAGGCTTAGTCTTTCCTTTTAGTGATGTTTAGGGAGATGTTTCAGTACATGGCAGATAGCAAAAGGGTAGAGCAGAAGAGGCACAGGGCTGCTAGATTAGATGGCAGTACTGCAAAATGAATAGGTGGAGGAGGGTTCGGTTCTGGCTGTAGCATAGCACCAGCAGAAAAGAAATGGGTTGTTTTTTTTGCAAGATAGCACAGATCTAAACTAGAGGTGCACCGAAATAGAAATTTAAAAACCGAAACGAAACCGAAAAAAAAAAATTGTCAGGCCGAAACCGAAAATGTTTTTATTTTAATTTTTATTTATTTTGTATAAACTTTTTAAAAAAATGTATATTTATTAATTAAATTTTTATTAAATATTTTTATTTTTTAATTTACTTTTAGGGGCTTAGGGAAAATATTAGGGGTCTAAACAGACCCCTGACATTTCCCTTTTAAAATAAAAAAAAAAAGAGATTGAGAACACAGAGTCCTCAATCTCTTTTTCTGTATCCCCAGTTATCAATGGTCAGGAATCCTCTATACTTAGTGTTCCTGTTCATTCATAACTTGAGAACATTGTATGGTTACAATAACCACAACTACGAATGAACAGGAGGTGATATAGATCACTCCCATTGATTCATAATTGAGGCTATAGTACACATACCATGTCCTCAATTATCTACAAACACTCTTCGATCACTGATCGCTGAGTGTTTGCTCTCGCTCTCCTCTCTGACACGCTGTCACAGGAGGCTGAGCGAGCGGAGCAGGGAGGAGAGCTCAGCCTCCTGTGACAGCGCGGGCTGTCTCCGCCCCCACACTGCTGTGCAGGACTGTGATAGGAGGCTGAGTGGTGTGGGAGGAGAGACGCCGGCCACTCACAGCGCTCTCCTCCCACAGTGTTCGGCCGACTGACACTTTCTCTACTCCCCACTGGGCGACCCCACTTTTTTTTCCCCATTTTTGGGTGCTGGGGTTCCCCCTTAAAATTCCTACCAGACCTAAAGGGTCTGGTAGGGATTTTGGGGGAAACCCCACGCACTTTTTTTTTTGTTTTTTTTAACTAACAGTCCTACCAGACCCTTGATCCAAGCACTGGCCCGGCAGGGCAGGAAAGGGGGGGCGATTGATCGCCCCCCCCTCCCTGCACCTTACCAGGCCACGTGCCCTCGGCATTGGGAGGGTGTCCCTGTGCCGATGGGTACAAGGGCCTCTTCCTCACTACCCTCACTACCCTGACCCGGTGGTTGTGGGGGTCTGTGGGCAAGGAGGCTTATTTGCATAGGGCTACCCCTTTAAGTAAGGGGGCACCTAGATGCCGCCCTCCCCCTTGTGAATGAGTAAGGGGTACTTGTACCCCTACCCATTCACTAAAGGGTTAAATCAAATAGTTAGTAAAAAGTCCAGACTTTTAGATAAAATTCTTTAATTGAAAAAAAAAACAAAGACTTTTTATTTCGGGACTTTTTTCTTCTGCAGACTACAAAAAAAATTCTAATGTCACTTTGCTGTTAACGAAATTTCTTGCAATAAACGAAATTTCGACCGGACTACCGCTAACGAATTTCGTCCGAATCCTGAAACGAATTCAATTGCGGACCCGAATCCGAAAAACGACTACTGCTAACGAATTCGTCCGAATCTGAATCCCGCAACGAATTTCAATTGCGGACCCGAATCCGAAAAACAAAATATGCAAAATCCGAATCAAAACGAAATGAAACTAAAATTTTTTTGCTGGTGCACATGTCTACTATTCAGGGTCATGGTGAGTGATGTCTTAGCCCCTAGTCCTCAACAGAGGATTTTAAATTTTTCAACTCTTTGATATGACAGCAGCAAAGTGTTAAACCATGTTAGCCATCAACTAAAGTAAAAGTTTGGATTTAAAGTGATACCGTTTATTGGCTAACTAAATAAACTCTAGTCCGAGCTTTTGAGGCATTTTGCCCTCTTTTTCAGGGAATATGAACTGACAGTAACAAAAAAACATTTTATACATGAAGAAGAAGCCAACATACATCAAACCCTTTCACTACAATGTATTTCATTACTCAACAAATGGTATCACCTTAAATCCAAACTTCAACTGTTTGCAGGGGCGGATCCAGAGTCTATTCTCGGGAGGGGCACTGCCAGAAAGTTAAGTTTTGCTTGCTTAAATATTTTATTTAAGACGGTTTCCTGGCCAACCACAATTAAGCCGGCCAAACAACATGCAGCCGGCTTCCCTGGCAGCTCATCCAAGGCTCTGGGGCTTCCACTACAAACATAGAAACCAAAGGGAACAGAGCGCCACCTCTGTGTGTAAAATCGTTTATGAGGATAAATAAAACAAGGGATAAATGTACTCACAAACGTTTTAATCAGGCTTTAACAACAAACAAGAGGCCACACTGTCTGTTAACCCAACATGGTATCGCCCCGACTATGTAAGCCTGATGAAAACGTTTGCTTGTGAGTACATTTATCCCTTGTTTTATTTATCCTAATAAACGATTTTACACACGGAGGTGGCGCTCTGTTCCCTTTTGTTTTCCATGTTTGATACAAGTGGCTGATGAAAAACCAACAAGAGGCTTTAATCAACATGTATTGTGAATGTGTAGTGCACACACACCTGAGGTCAGCATTTTAACACAAAACTACTATTTAAAGTAAGTCTGCAAAATAGACAAATGTACTAAGTTAAGGTCCCTAGCAGAGAAAGGGCCCTAGAAAAATGGTCTACCTACTTTAAAAGGGTCTAGTTAAAGCTTTTTGTTCTACTTACCAATTCCCAGTTGAGAAAGCTCTTCTAGCTCAGCCTCGGACTTTGCTGTTGCAATAGCATGAGGCAACTTCAAGGTGAAGGGCAGAACATCCCTGCAGGTAAAAACACATATCCGTAAATCGTACTGCTCCTGCTACTGTTGTCATGAATATGTAAAAGGTACAACGTGACACAAGAATATTTCTTGGAATTACAGTTTGTGTGCCTAAGAAGTTCTTTTTACTTCCTTAGCCTGAAGGTGATGCTATGGAGAGTCTGTGGAAATGTGTGCATTTAGCTTTTGGGAACCAAATGAAATATCAGAATAACAGCAATACAAGTATGACAGAGACAAGTACAGACATTTGTTCTACGCATGGGTTATTTTAAAGCTGAACTCCAGGCAGATGTAAAACACCACCAAAAACTCAGTTGTGACGTAGGGGTCAGCTGGAGGATTTAATACACCTTTGGAAAGGTGAGTATCCCGCCTCTTCTTTTACAGGGTTTGTCTGGTCTAAGTTCATCCAGCAAGTGACAGGGTTGCTTTAAAGCTGAACACCAGGATAAGCATATAAAGTATAAATACAAGAGGCATGTGAGTTTCTACTTGAATCTTGGTGTGCTTTGTGGATTTCTTCCAGATCTGTCAAGTATTCCATTGTAAAATTTTGTGCAGGAGCTTCCTGTAGGAAGATTCTCCTTCACTGTCCAGTCACAAGGTAGAGGTGGAGAGGGGACCAAGATTGATTGCACAACTGAAGTAGAAAAAAAAGCAGGTCACCGGACTTACTGTGCTGTCCAATATGACTGTGTAAATCCCAGGACTGACTAGACCGAGATTCTAATCCTTTGGCAGGTTTAACAGATCCCATGTATTTTAAACATGTAAGCAATTGTTGGACTTTATATTAGATTTAAAGAAGAACTCCATGCATAAATATTCTTAACCCTTCCAGTGGAGCTACCCCCGCACTTAAAGGGTTAAGTGCTTGTTTTCGTCTAGGAATGAAAATAAAAAAAGATATACTGACCTGGACCTTGGAGCCGGCTGTCTGCTAGACCGGTCCCTGGAGTGGAACCCCTTGGCAGGGGCGGCAAGCCAAAGTCTGAGGTCGAGGTACACAGGGAAAATCCAAGAAGAATAGTCAGGTCCAATCCGGGTCAAGGCAGGCAGCTAGTTTCAGTAACGGAAGGGTAAGCCAAAGGGTCGGTAATCAGGAGTCCAAGCAGAGGTTTAGGAATAAAGACAAGTTCAAGGCACAGGGAGATCACTCCATAGGGATAGAATAACTCAGCAATGAGCCAGGGCTCTGACTGGACTTTTATACCCAGTGGAGGACTGAGACCACTCCCCGGCTACCGAGGCAACCAGGTAGCCTCTCCATCAGAAGTCAATGGCGAGAGAGAGGCAGAGGGTGTGTGCTGGGAACCTCCCCCAGCAAGGATCACACCTGAGACCAGTAATGGGCGCACTCACGCGCGTCCCCGTGCCTGCACGCGCAGCCTGTCCACCCCACACGCGCACTTGTTGCGCATATGCGTACCCGCAGTCCTGGTGCCAGGGGTCCTGCCAGGAAGGGGAACCTGTGCCCCCCCGCCGCACATGGCCACCACGAGGAGAGGTAAGCCCCCTGGTACTCTGACAGTCTGTGAATGTTTTCATTTATTCAGGTCGTGGTATTTAGTTACATTCGGCTGGACTTGTTCTATACAGTTTAGGACATTTTGTCATACAAGTAGCTTCCTGAGCTCTAATTAGTGCCAGGATCCCACCTTTTATAGCCCAATAGGTAACTCAGTCACCATTATCCAATTACTATTGTGCGGTCACAATAATTGCATAAAAATGTGACACAATGCATAGCCACGGTAATATTTATATTACTGTGAGTTGGGAAAGGACATAGTCAATGATCCTTAAGCCATGTAATATAGCAATTGTATAGCTGGTTATTATACTGCCATCTTGTGGGCATTTTGGTTATTGCACCATGTTTTTCTGTGTTCCCTCCCATCTATGATGTATTTTCCCCTTCTTCAAGAACTAGCGTTAGTGTCATGGCTGCCTATAGCAGGATCACATGTACATGCTAGCTTGGAAAAATTATCATCCTTGACCTTCAAATACATTCATCTGCTGTATCCTGTTGTCTGCTGTAACCCTGCATGCAATAAAGCACTTTGTGGATGAAAAGGTATTTGGTGAGTTCATCTATCTCATAAGGATTGTCCTCCATGATTATATCTGCTTATACAGGCCAGGCATAGAGGTCTCAGCAAGGGATAAATCGCTAATACAACATTCGAAGTCAGAATAACTATGGAAGATGCCAAGGCAGATGCTAATTTGCCCAAAAATATGATGTTAGGTGTGAAAGTTTGTGAAGCCACTTGTTTTAATTACATAATCTTATCACCATGGTGCCATGAAGCCTGAGATGGAGTTACATGGCTGGAGGTGTGACCTGTTGTCAAGGTGCTGGGGTAAAACGGCATTATATGTGAGTAACAGATGGAGTCAAAGGTAATAGATGGAGTCTAAGGTATTAGATGGCGTCTAAGGCCCTCACACATGTTTAGGGATTGGTTGTTCCAGTTTGACGCATCTTGTGAAACAATTGTCCTTTCTGTTGAAAAACAGGACATTTTTTCAAGAACAGTGTAATGACATCTTGGAATTTTCCAGAATGATGCTATTATATGATGACGTTCTAACAGCAGGCAATTCCTTTTCTTACATACAAAAGACATCCATGACAAAAGAACGCAAGATAATACTGTATTTTGCCCTGAGATGAGCTTCCTTTGTTACATGGAATAAGCATCCTAAGCAGTTAGGTCAAAAGAAACAGGGCAAGGAACTCATGCAACTAACCTCAAAAAGCTTTATTCCTCCTGCAGGACTGAGCTGTGTTTAAACACAGCTTGAAAGAAAAGTTTATTTGAGGTTACCTCGGAAGTATTGGCCAAAAAACCCCATTGTATACAGCAGCCTGGAAAATGTCCAACAGCTTAGAGGGAAAAAAAAAAGTCTGTATGAATGAATAGCATGTGAGGTGATGTGAAATAATTGTGACTGTGTGAGCCAAGATGTACAGTTTCTGGGTAAAACTGTATCTGCAACGTCGGGGTCACGAGTCCAGATTTTCAATATCTGTCTTTGGAAAACGTCTAGTATATTAATACTTCCCAAATAAACATGACAGTAAATATTCTATGCACAGATCTTGCTTCTAAGATGACAAGTAAGGAGATGTCTCTACTGCATAGTTGTAGGAAAACTGAATACTGCCCAACAGCTTCTTATTGACCCTAGTAAACCAGAGTGCTAGTATATAAAGCAGGGGTAGCCAACCTCGGCACTATAGTTGATGTGAAATTCAAACAGTGTATGTCCAGCTTTAGTGGATTGGAAAGTTTGAGTTCAGAAGAAAAAGGTTGAATGTACTCTGACAAGTTTCAGCATTTATATAACCTGTGCTGTGTGCAAACAAAGCCCCATCTTGGACCTACCTCCCTGATGCCCAATTACTAGCATTATCTCTAACATCAAGCCCATAAATAGGTTAAATGAGTTAGAGATTGAGGTCTAAAGCTCACCACACACCTTTCAATCTTAATGTACAATTTCCATTAGATCTACCAACAACTACATAGTGCAAGGAGCTGCCTGATTGGATGCAAATTGATCGTATAGACTAGATAGGTCCTCATATTACATATTTTTGGTCGATCTAAAGTTGATTGTACAAAAATTGTACAAAAATTGTTTGGTCAGATTGTAACGTGTGTGGTGACCATTAGGCAGAGCTTTGTTCATGCACACCATAATCAATAACATTTTATACTGAAATTTGGAGTACAGCCATTTTCTTTCTTCCAGAAATTAGTAAACTAAACATGAGATTGTAGTCCATCACAGGATAGAACTTGGAGCGGTTGCTACTTTACAACACACACAGGGACCATGGGGAACAAAAGTAGCAACCCTCCAGATGGAAGGACAGTGTCAGCACCAATTCAGAGATGATTTGAGGATCTACAGCCGAGTGATACACAAATAAACTACAATTTTTGTTAATAGTTAGGGTACTTGAATGCTTTTTAAGATTCGACTCCTGAGTTTAGTGTCACTTTATGGCCTCAGTCACACTGATAAGAGCCGGCCCGTACAGATCCGTGCAGAGTGCACGGATCAGTGTGTGATTGCACGTAGTAGACTGTTCTCCTCTATGGGAGTACGCCGCCGTACGCTCACCCGAACTGCATATCCATACGGGTGCGGGTGTCCCTGTTCGGACGCAGACAGGATCACATCCATGCGGGTGCGGGTGTCCGTGCTCTTACGCAGACAGGAACCTCTGCACCCGTACGGACGTGCAGTTCGGGTGAGCATAGGGCGGCGTATGGCCGCATACTCCCATAGAAAAAACAGGCTGCTGCGTGTAACCACACGCAGCACCTGTCCTTCCCGTGAGCGGCCCGCTAGGGCCAGGCACACCGCTGAGGTCTTTAAGGTCCAGCTCTAAGTAGTGTGAATGAGGCCTAAATGTTTATTTGAATGTATGTATAGTAAACAAAAAGACAGAAAATTATAACACATCAATTTAAAAAAACAAACATTTAGGGCTCGTTCACACCATGTCTGCTAGGTTGTGTTTTTCTGCAAATCACTGCACATGTATTGTGTGAATAGGTCACATGGAAAACAACTGTTGTCTCTGTGCCCTGTTGTCTCTGTGCCCATACACATGTGGCAGCTCAACAGACATGGTGTGAACAAGCACTAAATACTATATATATATATATATATATATTAAAAAAAAAGCAGACCCCCCAAACCATTAGAGTTTCCCTTTAGGGAGAACTTCTTTGCTAATTTTCCAAACTCCGAGTGATATATTAACAACCGCTTCCTGACAGATGACAGAATAGTTCAATGAGTTTTGTAGTGTGATTCATTGTTCCGTTGGTTTTCTACAAACTGTGATCCTGCTTCTGTTTTGTTTTTAAATATGGGCTAGGGAAAAGTCCCTTGGGAAGTGGAAAATGAGATCACATTGCACCCAGCAGTGGCACAAACCCATCATTAGCCTGCTCAGTCTTGAGA